AAATACCGCACATACATATATATATATATATATATATGTGTACATTTTGACTTTGTAAAGAAGACTCGCAGCTTGCAAGCGGGACCGGGAAGATGGTGGCCACTGTGAATGGAGGGCACTCTGCGGGGTTGAAGTTTTTGATCTACGGGAAAACCGCATGGATCGGAGGCCTGCGGGGGAAGCTGTGCACGGAGCAAGGAATCACGTACGAGTATGGGAAGGGGAGGTCAGAGAACAGGAGCTCGATTGAGCAGGACATCAGCACACTGATGCCAACGCACGTGTTCAATCGACTAAGTTCCCGTTTCAACGATTCAACTTATGTATAAAACGGAACTTAGTCGGAACGAAATGAACAGCTAGGGTTCATCCGATGACACATCCGCAGCTTAAAACAGAAACGCCGACTATCGAATCAACGAATTCTTACTTAATCCGTAACCGACCCACCGATCCACCACTCTCTACACCAAAAACCTCCCCACCAAAACTCATTTCCATTGACATCCTCGTCATGCACGCGACGAAAGCAAAAACCCCCAATAACCCACAGAGGTCGATAGAAACACACACCAGAGCAAGAATCGAGAGCTACGAACGCAAGGACAAATGATGAAACCGACAAAACACACCCAGTAGCTAGAACTGAAACGGGAAACTTGCGAACTCGCAAACTCATGCTCGAAACCCTAGACCAACACGACGGACCATTCAGACACAGGGAAAAGACGATAGGAAGTGGAAAAAACAAAAGTACCAACTGCGTGAGTTAGAGTTTGCAGACAAACCCTGAAAAACAAGACGATGCTCCCACGTTTCCCACCACCATCCAGCGCGTCAATTGGGCTCCGAGCGGAAGCGCTACGTGAAGAACGCCGACAATTCTAGAGATGCACTGGAACCTGTTCCGGCAAATGTCGATCGCTTTCACGCGATGGGCTAGATCGCAGTTCGATCAGAAGGGACAGACCGAGAGTCCGAAAGTTGACAAAGATAACCGCCTTTGGTAGGTTAAGTAAAACGATCCCTACAACCTTTAAATTCAATAAAGATTCGCATATTTTCTTGTACTAGAGCAGCATTCAAATGGAATTTCCCTTCTGCGAGACCAATATTAAGTGATGAATGAAGGTTTAATTTCCAGTTGCCAAGTTGCTATCTTTCACCTGTTTCGAATTCTTCATTCGTTTGCATGCTCTCGCTTGTTCACGGATATGTACAGTGACACGTACATCAGTCTATTCCCTGAAAGAGCTGGAACTTGGATACTAGATTAGAAGAGATCGGGGCCAGATAATGCACTCCACAATGCGACTAAATTGTTGGAGCAAATAACATATTGGATCTTCAACAATCAATTATACTTCCTTACTCAATTGTAGATTCCAGAACCTGCCAGTGTGTAGTTAGATAAAAGTAGAATGAGTAAATACAATTAGATCGATCATCTTCAAACTTCAATTAGAACACGTCACAGTTTCAGTTTTTCAAATGGATCATGGCCTCACCTTCACAGCTTGAAGGTTTTCCAAAGCATCGCATGCACGCAGCTCCTTTATAAACATGCACTGCTGAATGGGTTGGGTTGCGCATAATTTCTCAGCCACGCAAGTGCCAGTTTGATCGTAGACAACTAAACGAAGATAACCACCTCCCAAGATCCTTTCGATGGGTCACCAAGTGAGTAACCCAGATACAACAAGTTTCAATCCATCGGCCCCATCTGTAGCGCCATACTTTTCAGCACTCATCATATTTGGAAGGTCGACTTTGTGGTTAATGCACATGTTCACACCAAGAAACGTACTTGGAAGCCTAGTCAAAGACCAATGCTATGTGGTCACCAAGTAGACTTGAGCACGAACAATGCTGCTTCCCACTCTGAAACCTGGATGAACCATAAGCCCGACAAGTGCTTCAGATGGAAGTGCAGATTGATCAGTGTCGACATCGCTAGATATGCCAGGCACAGCGGACTCCATGTAAGTCGGGTTGAACTGAGCACCCTTGAGCACAGAAATCATTCTGGCTGGTGGTTGAAAGGAAAATGCGAGCCTGTGAAGCAGCCACACGGACACTGCAAGCTTGAAGTAACTCTCATAAAATTTGCTCGACGGATGTCGACCAACACAGATCTCGTCGCTGTGGCTAAAATCTCCAAAGAAAGCTTCCTCGCTGACTGTGTGCAAGAATTTTTGAAACGAAGTTCGTGAAGGGAAACATTATGGGGTCGATTGTCTGTTAGCAATGTAAGTGTATCCGCAACATTTGTGTATGTATTGTACTATTGAAAGCATGACTTAGACTGCTCCTCAAGGTCAAAGGTTTTGGTCAAGCAGCTGCCGATGTCGTAGCATACGCTGTTAAAATCTAAGAACGTCACTCTTGGCGTCTAGATCTGCAATCTCATCTCCAATATCACTTTTATCATCTGCTTAATAGATCTATGTTTCTTTTTGCAGATTTTTTTTTTTTTTTTTTTTTTTTTTTTTTTTAATATCTTTTCTCAGTGCTGCTTCCTTCGATTGCTCTTTCTCAACTTGTTCATCTCCAACTTGATGGTCATACATTGTTTGTATACATTTCAACTTGCACCACTAAATATGCAAAAATTTTAGCATGTACACCAAAAATCAAATTCTCCAATTCTCCATTTGTACATTGAAAGAATAGTTGGAGCTATAATTTCTAATTTAAGAATGAAAAAAATTTTAAAAAATCTCTTCAGTTGATAGTATTTCTTTTATTTAAATTATCATATCATTATTTGGAGATTTGAATATATATTATAAAAATTCAAGTAGTCTCCTATATATTAAAAAATACATATTATACAACTATTATTTTTTATTATATTTATAATCTACAATAATTATAGAATTAGGTTCCATATTTGAGGCTTTCTTTTAAATTTTGAAAAATAGTTGTAAAATATGATAGTTTCATTATTAAAATTTAACTCTTCTACTTATTTTAACTATTACAAAACATACACAATTACAATATTATATTAATAGAAGTCCTAAAATATAGAACTATAAAAATTATTATAATGAAATAAAAGCTCACAACTTAATTTATATATATATATATATATATGAACAGTGTTTTAAAAAATATATATCATCCAAAGTATAGTTAATTGCAAAACATAAAACACAAATTTTAGAGTTGTATCATATTTTGTTTCAACTTAATCTAATTTTTTACTCCATCCTAACACTATTTTCTAAAAGGGATTGAAAAGTTAGGATCCATCCAAATATTTCATTACTATTATAAAATTAAGAACTGCAAAGTTTGTCAGCTATAATGATGTGTCTATTAATTTAATTTGATAATGTTTGGTAATATTTTATAGAAGTTTCAAATTGGCAACCATACTATAAGACATATACAAGTTTTATACAACCTTTTTTTTTAACTCAAATTCTAATATACATATAATCACCTCAAATTGGACTTACATTTGTTAGGTTTTTGTTTTTCAATATGAGATTTTGAAGGGTGAATCTAGATTCTCTTCTATATCTTTTCATCTAGTATATTATATTGGAATTATAATAAAACTAGAAAATATCAATAAAAAACAAAAAAAGAAACATAGTATTTATGTAATAACAAAAAATAAATTCAAACAACTCTAAATAATATAATTGCTTTATGTGAGCATATCAATTAAAAATCCTTGCTCTTGCACAACCATAACAAACAAGTGGAATAAGAACTAAATACATATTGAGTAAAGAAATAGAAATCGTATAAACCTACTAAAAGACCTTAAGAACACATTATCATATGAAGATAGTATTCAACTTTAGGATATTGCAATTGTTGAATATTCATTACAATTCTTGATACAAATATAGAAAAAAATAAAAATATTTAATCACACTAATTGTGCATTATTGGTTAATTTAGTTTTTCAACTTAAAGCACTTGCATAATTTTAGTCTTGAGGTAATTATTATAACTTTAAAAACAAATCTCATACTAGCCAATTGCAATTTTAGTTCTTAACAACATACTCAAGAAGAAATAAGGATCATGGCTTTTGTTGATTAGCTAGATGGTTAATATTACTCTCATGAATACAATAAAAACAATTCTAATGACATTTAGTTTAAATTTCCTATACAAGAACATTCTTATGTATTCATGAAGATTGCAATAGATGTTTTACATCACTATTGCATGAAATTCTAACAATCAACAATGAAACTATCAATACAAAATAATAATAAGATGATGTGTAATGCAAATAGTAAATTTTATGCAATTTAACTTCAAGAAACCTATCTCCAAGTAATACTCATACCTTGGCCTCAAACAACTTGCTATTATTATCCAAGATGATCATTATATTCAAGTTTGTGAGCACCTTTGCTACAATTTAATATAATATCAACTCACCACAAACAATTTACTACCACAAGCATCAATTGTGATGCAATATAAAGCACTTGTTTTTTCTCTACAATTCTTAATTGGGAAGGACATAAAGAAAGAGATGAAAACAAATGATGCCAACTCATTGTTCTATCCTTTAATTAAGCAAATCTTCCTTGTCCTCCCTTAGCTTGTTACATTTAGTGTAATGAATTACACCAGGGCACACTCTCATTGGGTCACACCAGCTAATGACAATACAATAGCAAGTGCTGAGTGACAAACAGTTGGTAGAATTGAGGTCATGTTGCAACATATTTACCTGTGAAGTCATTGATTTGCAATCTTCCTCCACCAAAAAGCACAGAATCATAATACACTGATATTTAGAAAAATGCCAAGTCCATTAATCTCAACTATCCCATTTCAAGGTACATAATCACCCAGTTTCACAATGTCCGTGATTTGTTAGAGCTAAACTACAGTCATGACCATCTGACCATTTTGAAGGCTCTCTCAAAATAGTTCATTTACTTCACTGTTAAAGACTCAACCTAGACATGAAAGTGGGTGAAATGTGGAATACAAGAAGCGTACCATAACAAAAGTTCTAGAACCCAAACGCATACTGGCACCAAGCTGTGTATTGAATTCATATATAGGAATGCCACTCCCAGCTAGAAGCTCATCTCCTTGTCGTCGGGGAAAATTTTACAAACAAGGCCATTGCAAAAGACTGCAACAGGTTACAATCCCGAGGACCTCTGCGACGAATTACATGTATGATCCAACTCAAGTTGGATTCGAACTGATTGATCCCTCTAATCCATCTACACTATGTTGACTCCTCTTCGCGGCATCACCATCCTTGTTGCGACTCCAACCCTCATCGAGGTACAGAGCGAGAAACATGCTCTTCTTGACCTACAAAATGGCCAAACAATAAAACTCCACTCCAAAAACTATCTACTCTTGCCTCGTTAACATCTCAAGGGTCAGGGAATTCGTGAATCCGCGGTATACTTCGTACTCATAGGGAACGACTTCCAAGCAGGTACTGTAGCGATTGTTATTTTACATGAAAAAGAATTAAGGGACATGGAACAGTCCCGGTTGCTAGCGTTGAATCTTGACCTGCAGCAACTCAGTGAGCCGAGGTCTCGTGTACATCCTCAACAAAAGCGAGGAGCAAACCACAGAAACGGAGGAGGAAGCCATAGCCGCACCAGCAGCCCAGGGTGGTAATCGTAATCCAAAATATGGAAAGAATACTCCAGCTGCAAGAGGAATGGCAAGGATGTTGTACCCCATGGCAAATGCATAATTCACCCTGATCCTGGCAAAAGCTTTCCGCGACAAATCTATTGATGTTATGACATCCTCCAAGTTGTTCCGAATCAACACGTAGTCAGCTGCCTCAATGGCGATGTCTGTGCCTGCTCCGATTGCAATACCCACATCTGCGGCCGCTAGAGCTGGAGAATCATTTACGCCATCGCCTACCATGGCGACCTTGGTTTCATCAGACTGAAGGTTGCGTATAATTTCAGCTTTCCCTGCTGGAAGCACTTCGGCGAAGACCTCGTCAATTCCCACTCGTCGGGAAACCGACCTGGCAGTGCCCCAGTTGTCTCCAGTGACCATGACACACCGGATGCCCATGCGTTGAAGACCCTCCACCACAAGAGCTGCCTCTGGATTCAAAGGATCTGAAATGCCAACTACGCCAACTATAGATCCGTTAAATGCAGCAAGGATCCCAGTACCCGCTCGGTTCTCCGTTTCTTGCAAGTAGCGTTCTACTTCGTCCGAGACGGTGACTCCTGCCGATCGCATCAGCTTACGGTTACCAACCAGTACCGACACTCCAACGATTTTGCAACGCACACCCTCACCGGGAACATTTTCAAACTCGGATGCTTCCCGCATCCAACTCAAATCTCTAGTTCGAGGCATCTCTCCTGATCTCAGTGGTTCGGGAAACACTAAATGGTTGTGGGCATAATCCACCAATGCTTTTGCCATGGGATGCTCACTTCCTGCCTCTGCAGACGCAACTATTGTAAGAAACTCCGCCAGGGGAGTTTTGTCAAAGATCTTCACTGTTTGATGTGTGACCGAAGGCTTGCCCATTGTCAATGTCCCCGTCTTGTCGAAGACCACACACTGAATACGGTGGGCGCGCTCCAAAGCATCGCCTCCCTTAATCAAAATTCCGTTTTGAGCTCCAATTCCAGTAGCAACCATGACGGCAGTCGGCGTCGCAAGCCCCAGGGCGCAGGGGCAGGCTATAACAGTCACGGATATGGCGAACATGAGGGCGTGAATAAAATAGTTTCCGCCAGCGGAAATCCATGAATCAGGATACGCTCCCATTTTCCCCGCCACATACCACACCATGAAAGTAAGAGCAGCCAGTAACAAAACCACCGGGACAAAGATACTTGCCACATAATCGGCAAACTTTTGGATCGGCGCTTTTGACATCTGTGCAGTCTCAACCAGGTTCACAATTTGTGCAAGCGCTGTGTCACGACCAACCCGCATGGCACGAATATGTAAAACACCGTTGACGTTCATAGTACCGCCTATCACAGAATCGCCGGGTGCTTTGGGGACTGGTGATGCCTCACCCGTGACCATGCTCTCGTTCACATGGCTCTGGCCCCATGAACATATCCCATCTGCGGGCACCTTTGCCCCAGGCAGCACCTTCAGCAAATCGCCTCGCTGAACCAACTGAGCATCAATTTCTCTTTCAGCTACAACCTTCCTCGCAGAGTCGACGGTGAGAAGGAGTGCAGTAGTGGGAGCAAGCTGCAAAAGCTTCCCAATGGCCTCCGAGGTCTTTCCTTTCGCAAGAACCTCCAAATACTTCCCGAGAAGGACAAAAGTTAGGAGCATGGCGCTTGTTTCGAAGTACGTTGGAAGTTGAATCCCAGTGGATGCGCTGTACAGGACAGCACATACGGAGTACACATATGCGGCTGTTGTGCCAAGCACCACAAGCACGTCCATATTAGCTGATTTCCTTTTCAGTGATCTGTAAGCTCCGACGTAAAACCGACGGCCCAAAACAAATTGGACAGGTGTAACAAGGGCCCACTTCAGCCAATCTGAGAGCAAAAATGGACCGCACTTGACGCGCAGGAGAAGCTGCACAATCCAAATATGGGGACAGATTGCCCCAATGAACACAACAGGGATACTGAACAAGCAACTCCACAGAAATAACTGGAACATATGCCCGACCTCGTCGCATTCCTCTGGAGACTTGTTTGTATATTGATTGGAGATAACAACTTTGTAATCTCCACTAGCTTCAACTGCATCCACTATGGCACGCAGCCCAATAGCCTCGGGGTCAATCAGAACTTCAACTTTTGATGTAAGAGGGTCAACCGTAATCTCCTTCACTCCCGTCAAGCTGCACAATATTGACTCCACGTTGGCCTTCTCCTGAACAGACGACATGCCCGCTACAACAAATCTGATTTTATCTCTTTGGCTGCTGTCCATCAGTGTTGCGTCAAACCCTGCATCGTCGATTGCCTCAATGATATCTTGCTGGTTGATGGTTTTCGGATCGTATTCTATCTCGCCAGATTCGGTGACGAGGGCGACAGAAGCACGTATGACTCCGTTGAGGCTGTTAAGCACGCTCTCCACAGAATTCACACAGGCGGCACAAGTCATTCCTTGAATTCGAAATTGGCCAACAATGTTTGAAACAGCAGCATCACCATTGGCTTCAGAGGAGACGGGGGTGCTTGACACAATGATGGCATCAAATCCTGCATTATCGATCGCCTCGATAATGTCATCTTCGCTGACAAGGTCAGCATTGTAGACAACCACAGCTCGATTTTGAAGTAAAGCCACAGTGGCAGATTCTACACCGTTCAATTTGCCTAACGCATTTTCAACAGAGCTAGAACATGCTGCACATCTCATCCCTATCACATTGAGCTCCAACCGTTTCTTTATCTGCGTCTTAAGGAGACCGTCGCTGATGCTGAAGCAGTTCCTACTGGCTTCATTTAGGAGGGGTAGATTCTCAAGACTCCCTGTTGACCCATTTGAGGGAAAACTATCAAACCTTGTCAATTGTAAATGGCTGGCGGACGCCATTTTCACCAACTTTTCTAAAGATGAAAGAGGATGTGGAGTTCGATTATTTACAATTCGAGCGCACCCTTCGAGAAAATTGTGTACCCGCCAAAAATCATTCCACCTCAGAAACGTGCTTCGCTGTTCATCAGAAATAAAGAATTCTATTAGAGAAATTGCAAATCTACAAGGCCGCTAAACTTTTTGTTTCAATGACCAATATAAAAGTCGTAATTACATTAAAATGCACTGGATACCCTCATAAAAGTGAATAGTAAAAATACAACAAGATAAATACATCAATGTGTAAAATCTTGAGGACAATAGAACGACGGCATCCTTCATAAACATGACGCGTGCAAACTAACATCAATTTCTCAAAAGGAGTTCCGCTCAGATGCAATACACCCCCACCAATTTGAAAAGCATAGCATCAAGAGTACTTTTCATCCAAAGAGGTTTTCATTTCTAACCTGGAAGTACAAGCTTCAGTTTGAAACGCTACAATACACTCATAATGTTGCTACATTCTACGTCGATAAAAAGTCTTCAGGTAAATTCTACAAGTTGGAAAAATGAGAAGTAATCTGCAGAGTACGTACCACAGAAGGTGAATCAACCTCGAGAGTATCCCTGAATCAAGTCGTCAAGCTAAATCAAGCACACGCCACAAAACCCCAAAGCGTCAATTTGTAACCACACTGGCAGTCTCATCAATTGCTAACATCTTTAGCTGCATGCTTGATGTGCATAATTCAGAGTTCTCTAAATTAGATTAGTACTAGCCGTGGCAGCCCACTGCATAAGATCTCAAATCTAATTTAAGCGTAGTATATGACCTTCGAAAGTTTACGAAGCTTGGTATAGACTCTTGATAACACCCAAATCTGTTGTTCATTACAGAGTTCGCAAACCACGCTCACTTGGGCAGTACATTCAAGAGCAAGCTTGCAGTGAAGAGCAACTGTCATGTTGCCACGAAATGTTGACGTAAGTATGGACTAATTCCAGCAATCTACCTCGACTTCATGCAGAAGCCACGGTGCACAAAGGAAATAGGGTGTTCACAGGACATTTTTTCTCGACTTAAAAACAGTGAATCTCAGAGTATACAATCAACAACCTTCAAAGTTAAATTTCATTGCAAACTTTCGACTTAGTCATCAAACCTCCAAGAACGTCTACAGAACATGCCTTACTTCCAGGGGTCCTACACAATCTTAACGCCTACATGCCAAACAAATAAATAAACGCATCCCATACCTAATCCGTCACGTGAGCTCCAAACCACCAATTCTGAACTGCACCTACCCCTCCAGGAAAACCCGCTCATAGACTTCCCACGAAAACCACCCGAGACCCACCGTCACCACCACCTCCTCCTCTTCCTTCTCCTTTTCCACCCCCAGGCTCCGATGTAACCCCATCCCAGCCCTACACATAAAGTCCCAGCCTAGCAGCAGCGACATCCCATCGACGCAACGCCAAACGACAGCCCCATCCGCGCAACAACAGACTGTGGAACCCAGCTCCGACCGCGACTGCCCACAAAAATAAGCACCCCAACAGTCCCCCTGCACGTCGCCTCAAATCTTCCACAGCTCAGAAGAGATCGAATCAACCCGCAGTTGATTGATCTCAATCGGAAGAAGCGAAATTGGTCGGGAGGCTGCCTGGGTAAGTTAGACGATGGAGACTCTGGTGAAGACACAACTGGGGAAGAATTCGAGGCAGAGGAAGCCAATGTTTGTTTGTGTAGTACTACAAGGCAGGGAATAGGGCAGGAACTGTACTACCACTGTCTGTAGTACTAAGCTCGATTCCTTGATGCGATGGCGACGATCGTTGCCATTTCCGCGTGATTGGAATGCGGTGTTTCTTACGTTGCTGCGGTGGGTGACTACTATTCGGAGATCCTTTGTCCACGGTGGCAGTGTGGGGGCGGTGACGTGGAGGGGTCGTTGATTGCTGAGCTGGACGGGATGTCCTGTGCTGACAGTGCGAGTTCATATATGCTGAGCTGGATGGATATCGGGCTGGGCTGCAATTATATAATGCGTACTAAGTGAACCCGTGCCAATGTCGCCGAAAATATGTGCAAAACTGAAAACTAAAGCTCTAATTCTCAAGCATGTCAAAAAAGATGTTAAGAGTGAAATTCTTAACAAAATGGAGTATGCAAATAAAAAAAATCTATAGGTTCTAAAGGAAGCTCTAAGATGTCCTCACCTTAGTCTAAGATTAGTTTTGTTAAGGTTGTGCAAATTGGCAAGTTAATTCAAGTTTTGATGAAAACAATGATGATTAAGAAATCCAGCCAATTAGAAGGCTAATTTGTCCCACTAGTTTATTTTGTTAATTTATACCCCCCTGATGTGTTTTATAATAGAGATGGAATTGAAGTTGGGGTTTAAGATGAAGTTTCATGTGAGGAAAATAAAATATCATAGATATATCCAAACATAAATTTGAATTTTTGAGATGCCATATTGATATTGTTTTAATAATATTCTAAAATGTGAATTTCTTCACAAGTATCTTTACTACATTATGGCTACTTGTTACTATATCATATATATCCTTGTGCATTAAATTCATGGATTGGTTAATCATAATAGATTGGCATTATATAAATTATATTAAATATTAAAGATAAATATTTTAATGAAATTATTTTTTAGTATCATATGTTAATACACTATTTTCAAAACAATCTTATTTTAAAAATCATGCATATTTATTGTCTTTTACATTTGATACTAAACATAAAGTGAAAGCTTCAAATAAATGATCAAATTATCTCACATTAGTTCTAATAATCTTATATGATAATCTCATTTGTACAATACTTTAAACGATAATAAAAAATAATGATAAATTATACCAAATAAAATTATATAAAAAGTTTTTACAAGATATACTTTATAAAACTAGTGCACAACTATGAAACCATATGAGTTTAAGATCAAAGAAGCAATTAGTGTAGAAAAATGTACACAACCAATTATTCTCAATATCAAAAAAAACTTTAATTTAAATAGAATTCTTTGTTATACTTTTATCAGTCATAGAATTATTTTTTCTTTAATTTTTTTGATAGTTGTTTTTTATAAATATAGTGATCAAATTGTAAAAACACAATGTCCTAAAATTATTATCATGTTAAAACATAATTATTAATGTCAAATGGTTTAAGTGTTATACCTTGTATTTAAGTTAAACATTTAAATTAATTGATAAAATGGTGTTTATTCATCATAATTCTAAAGATTACTCACTATGAGATTATTTATGACTTTGAGAAATTCAAATGGTCTATAATGTAGGTTCTATTTATTACCTTTAAGAATAATTTTTAGAATCTATAATAAATCATTATAATTTAGCTATAAATATATATACAAAGAAAAATAAATAAATTCGAAGCAAGAAAAATATTTAAAACAAAAAAAATCATTTCAGATAACAATACTTTATTTTAATATATTTCTAAAAATATAAGACATTTTTTGACATTCAGAAAAATTATATATTAAATAAAATTTTAATCTTTAAATAAATCAACACGATAAATTGGTACTTATTTGAAATTATTTTTATTTAAAATGATAAATCATAATTTATAAAAACAATATGTGATTACATAGTCAGTAACAACTTTGCAATCTGATTGTAATTTCTTCAATTAAAGATTTTGATACCAATGTTTGAACACTATGGTAATACTTTTAAAATGTTGCAAATGACTTTAAGAGAAAGAAAAGTAGAATATATATATATATATATATATATATATATATATATCTGTTTTTTTTTTTCCATATATGTAAAAAGTTCAGAAAAAGTTACATATCAATATCAAAATAACTGTTGATGAATATTTTACTTTTATATAGATATTCAAACATCATTGACTTATCATATTCATGGAAACGTCTGGATGTTTGTGTTTCAAAATATAATACACCTCAAATATTAGAAGACTACTTGTTAATTGGACACTCAACACTGCTTTTAAAAGAGCTTTCAAAGATAACTTAGCAAGACTTCATCTAACCAAACATTATTTTTAATAAAATTCTCAAAACACCAGGCCTATAATTTAGAATGAAAATTATAAACGTGATATGTATTAAATATTTATTTATATACAATGTAGAAGTAATAAATAAATTTAAAAAAATTAAACTAATATTGAGATTTAAAACACATGAGGTTTGAAAATTTAATTGGATAAATGTGTGGTGTTAGATAAGTAGAGTATTGATATTATTGAAAAAGATTATCATTTATACATACACAAGAAAGAAAACCATTTTTCAATCTAAATGATTGTTGAATCTTCAAAAAAATTGAATAACATATTTTCGATTAGTAAATTCTAGCTAGTGTATTTAACATTATTGATTTTTTTCTTTTTGGTATTTTATAAAAACAAGAAAAAAATTATATGTTTTATTCAATACAATTTTTTTGATATTGTGATGATAAAATATTCATATAAACCAAAAACGTTTTAGCACGGTGATTGGTTTTCATAAATTAGGAATTCTGTTATGTAATATCTAAAAGTTTGAAATCAAAATTGATTTTTAAGAAACTGCAAATGTGTAATGAACACTCAAAATTTTAATTTTAATTCAAAACTAATTTCTCAACAAAGTGAAAATATGTTGATTTTATTTATTTAAATTTTTTCATAGAAGAATCAACTTCCTTTGTCAAAACTTCATTCAATCAACAAACTTCAAGGACAAACAAAAATGTTATGCCAATGAGCCAATTTTAAGAATAGGCTTTAATCTTTTACACGAAGCAGATACATATTAATTTTAATCATTGTTTATACTACGATTACACAATAGTTATCTTTATTATATCTTAATCATAAAAATATTTTGATATTCTATTTACAAAAAAAATAACCAAACTACCTAATGCTTTTAATTGTATATTGGAAAAAAAAATGTATAACCATATTTAATGATTTTTTTAAATAGATAAAATTAAATATATAGAGAGAGAGAGCAAACAAGTGTTACAGCATGTATCATCCTATTTTAAATTAAAGAAAGGTATATCATATAGATTTAAGAAAATATTTTTAAAGATGTTTTTATTTAAAAAATGCTTGTAGTAAAGTAATATTTAAAAACATCATATGAAATTTGCATTCATAGAGAAAATCTACTATTCAAAATCTTATTAAAGTAAAACTTGATTTACACTTTAAAGATTTACAGTGTACTGTAAAATATTAATCATACCGTAATTTTTCTGTAAAGATTTGTTTCCTGTAATAATAAATTATAAGGATTTGATACACATGATAATTTATTAAATTAAAATAAAAAATAATAAGAATAATAGTTTATTGTTTTAAATACTTATTTGAATATCCATGGAAATATATATATATATATGTATATATATATATAAATATATATATATAGATAATTTTATTTTCTTTTACTTGTGTGTGTATGTATGTATGTGTATACTTTTGTAACAATATTTTTTCTAAATATGCATAATTTAACAAATTTATATATTGAACTATGAATGATTGAAATAGAAATATGCGTTATATGATCTTATAAATTTTGATAAGATGTAAGTAAACTTTCAGATCTTATAAATCTTAATAAGAATATTCACTAATTTAAAATAAATAAATAAATAAATAAATAAATAAATAAATATATTTGAATATATATATATATATATATATATAGTTGCAACTAAATTGAACTTAAAATTCTAAGATCTCTATTTATTTATGTGTGGAGGAAGGTTTTTAAAGAAATTATACTTCACACACACACACACACACACACACACATATATATATATATATATATATATACATGGTTATAGTGTAAGATATTGTACTTTTTCCTAAGAGCTAGAGGATAATTAATTCATGGATTATCATATTTATATAACATCGAAATATAAATATGTTAGAGAATTGTATAAGATTCTTGATAATGGTTTTTGACTGATTACATTAGTATTTTAAAGGTAAAATATGTTTTGATTCAGTTTAATGGAATATAAGATTTACATGTGTAGAAAAAGTTAAATCATTGTATTTTTTGTCACAATTAAGCATAGTAGTGTTACATCCATTCAAAAACAATGATTTGTAGATTTATTTTAGATTGTTATTATCTTTTTGTGAAACTGTTTATAAAAGTTTGTATGTGTATATGTTTGTTAAAAAAATATAACTCCACAAACATCTAAAATTTATATGAAGTAAACTGAAATTATCCATGGCAAGAATCAGATTCAACGAAAATGTAAAATTCTATTAAGTTTATTTTAAATTGGTGTATTATTTTAATCAATAAATATGTAATTCAAATCTTATGCTTAAAATTTGATTGATTGATATTTATAAATATTATATTGAGATCAAGTTTTAAAAAACATTTATCTATCTATTCATTCTCAATCGTCAATATTCATTGCACTTGTAATTCCCTACATTTACACAATATATAAACTTTAATTTCATTCTTAGTTCTATGTATATATATATATATATATATATAGCATTGTTTAACATCAATATGTGTTATGGTTGTACATTGAAAACATAAATGAACAAGCATATTTACACAACAACATAAATGAACAAGCATATTAAACTATGAAAGAATACTTACATTAAATTGTTAAAGAAGTTGTATTTTCCAGTAATTTGACTCACGTCTTTGCTACCTTCCTTACAACATTCTCTGAATATTGTTCCCTCCATATCCTCGTTCAAGCATGCTTCAAAAAAGTCAAACTTTACTTTAAAATGAAAATGGTGTTTGAGATGGCGTTGTTCCTCCGATTCATTTATGCAGCTCAGCTTTCGTTCAAGTGTTGTGGCCTTCGGTGATGAAATTGTAAGGAAGATTTGAGCAATGCGAGGATTTGAGCCTTCGCAGATGCAACAGCATTACACTAAAAGATGTCTGGCTTACAAGTTCCGGAAGTAGGCTGCGACTGATTGAGCCTGTACATCATGATTTCGTATTTTATTTCATTGTTTTTAACATGAATCATGAACTGAATTTAGCAATAGTCAAGAAGCCTGTATATCTTTGAACGGAGGCCGCCTGGCTGCAACAGTATGTCGCGATTAAACCGCAATCCTATCTTGCAGCTTGATTGAAGCATCCTCAGGGAACAAGCCATTTCCTATTACAGTTCCAGGTTCATCATGCAAAGAAAGCCATAAAGAACATGACAAAGAAGCAAAATAACGAAAAACATGCTCACCAACTGCTAAAAGATCTCATCCTCGTCATGTGCAGGAAACTTCCCTTCTCGTATGTGGAGATGACACCAGAGCTCCTCTACATTGTCTCCAGGTCTTGCCAGACGAGAATCGGAGACTGCAGCTATATGAATCTTCGTCGGGTGTTGCACATCACAACTCCAGGGTTTCGAATTCCATCGCAGACTTAAGTACTAAACCTACAATCCACTGATGAACAGTGAGTACAAGCTCTACCCCTTAAGACGATAGCTAGAACATGAAATGGATTCACAAATTGTCAAGTTAGAGCAACAAAGCGAGCAGGATGGAGGTTTAATTGTTCACTTGCCAGATCCACCTCAAACAAATTGAGACGTGTTCTGTAAGGTTTACACCAAGACTGCTCCCTGCAACCTCACTTTCCTCAATTCACAAAAATTAAAATGAATGGGATGAAACCAGCAAAGCATGAAACCAGCAATTTACCTGCACAAACTCCATCAATTACGTTTCAATTATCACCAGCCACTGCGGAGGCAAGTGATTTGAGATTTTCCGGCTGAGACGTGATTCGAACTATTGACAGTTGACCACTTTGTTACATAGAACTACAAAATTTTCTTGCACGCAATGAGATCTGAGATTTCATTTTAAAGCTGCTAATACATTGCATTGACGCGGGCAGAGCTTTAACTCAGCAATTCTCCCTGGGAACCGCCTCCGAGCTTCATCATCAAGGGCCCCGATTTGCGGTGGGAACATGTGGGCAGTTTCAGAGGCTGGATTGAAGAATCACCGCCCCTGTCAATCACGTCGTAGATCAGTTAACGGCGTCTAAATCAAAGACACGCGGGAAGCACCTCATTGGTAATGCAGAATTCAAACGGTTGCGATCGAAAGTTCTGGAAAAATCAGGTCACCGCCTGTTTTTTTAAAGCACGTGGCAGAAGAATGTAAACGTTATCCACGTCGTAGATGTGGGATCTACCAAGTAGGGAAAATATCAGGTCTTGCTGATTGATTGCTTGCGTCATCAAATGGAAGAATTTCATCCCTCAGAGCCATATGGCTTTGTTTACTAATCACTGGCTGTAGCGGGCTTCCTTTTCCTTTTTCGGATGTCGATGCCGAACAGGGAAGCTAGCCCCATCGATCTAACTCATGCAACTAAGAATAAGGCTAATTAACAAGTGTCGATACAGTCATATTATATTTCTTTCTAAAACAATCATAATTGTTAGTGTATACTCATGATTGTTTTGCCACAATTCCATTTAATTAGCACTAACGTCGCTAAGGATTAATTCGTGGTGAAATTACTTTGTGATGAATTTTAATTTTTCGTTTCCACTTCATTGTACGGATTTTAATAGTCTTCGTATTATATTAATTTTGTCGCATCTTACGTATTTAATGATTTCGAATGTTAACATCTTTAAATCGGACAATCACGAGTTTTTTGAATTTCTATTGCATCACTGTATACAAAGCACTGAACATGTCTTACGTAAATCTTCAAAAGGAATGTGATGACTCTATGAGAGAATCTTTCATTGCAGCTATCATTGTATTCTCAAATTTATTTTAATATTTGAATTATTACTGTATTTGACGCGATATGTAATGGAAATCGTGTGTTTTATGACTAGATCATATCATCTAACATTCAACAGCAGTATAAGTTGAGATTACAAATATGTGATTAAATGAGATTAAATCAGTTGAAGATACTGTGCGGTTAAGAATGCAGATTAATCCACAGGCCAGCAGAATGCAATTATGGCTATTATCAATAAAACAATTCGACTGCTTACCAATATATATATATATATATATATATATCTATAGCTTCATACATCGAGAGAGAGAGAGATTTCACTGTGGTTTTATCAGCGTTTTATCGAATACAAATGGTAAGAATTGGAAAAAGAAATAAAAAAGAAAAAGAAAAAGAAAAACAGTGAATCTTAGATGTTACCATAGAAAGAAGCAGGCATTTTTTCTTATCTACCCCTTCATCTTCTCACACAATACCTGTTTCTGATATGGTATCTAACCCAAGCGAGAAATTCAGCCAACTAAATTACAAGATATTCATGAGTTTAGCTGACAACTCTCCATTTAAGGAAGGATTAAGTCTATTGACAAAAGAATAATTTCCCTGTGCAGGAATGGATCAGCACAAGGCACTGAAGCCGACGTGGTAACAGCTTCCATTTAAAAAGGACCTACCATCTTCCGATTAAGCGAGCATTTAAATAATCCGCAAGCTCCTCCCACAATGACACGGCTAAACTGAGCATGAGAGTCCCACTTCTAAGCGCAACTTGGAACCAAACGAAGATGGGGATACTTTTTTCACACGTTCATCCAATCTTCTCCACACGGCATCCCATGTCGACCAACAAATCGGGGCGTTAAAGACCGTCTGGTTGAGATCTACAGATGGTGCGCAATGTCCTTTCTTTTTTTATTAGCCCTCCCCATCAACTTTCCCGTTTTTGCTCCGGTTTCACTTTAACTGAGATGAGCTGAGTCACAGTGAAATATCCTTCTGTCTTTGGACAATGGAAGTTACGCGGCGTAAAAGTTCATCGTGTCGCTCATAAGAAGGCTAAGGTGCCCTTGCACGCGCAACTCTGGCTTCGTGAAGGGTTTGTTGTGCTCACACACCACGATCGTGGTCTCAACATTGCGACGATCTGCTAGATTGTTTGGTCGGCGGACGTGTTTAGTTGAACTTTGTGTTGGCAGGCGGGTAGGGAGAGCGTCTCAGAGTGAAATTTGAGTTGGTATTGCGGTTTTCTTGAAAGATACTTGGAGACTTGTGAAGTGTAGTGGTTGTGGCTTCACTGTGGAGGTTATCGGATACAATTGCGATCGTATTTGTGCAGATCGGCTCGTCTATGTGGCTTAGGTGGATATTTTGAGAGATATGGCGACTAAAATAAACTCGGTGTCGACTTTGAACCCCAATGCGCCTCTATTCGTGCCTGCAGCATTTCGTGCAGTGGAAGACTTTTCCAGCGAATGGTGGAGGTTGGTTCAAACTTGTCCTGACTTTCGAGAGCAGTGGGTGAGGGAACGCCTGCCTGTGTTGGAGGAGCAAGAGATGTTCGAAGCAGACTTGGACGAGATCGCTGACCTTGATGAGTTTCTTGAGTTCCAAGAAGAGATGCAGGAAATGGAGATTGCGCAAGAGTCGTTGAACTTTGATGTTGATGATGGTGGGTGCTCGCTCTACACGTAAAATGTATGTTCGGCTGTCGTGTGTGCGCATTTTTCCTCCCTGCTGTCTACCGTACCGCTTGACCTTGCACTTGTGTGTGTAGTGCGTGGTGATGTGAAGACAACTTGGATGTGTACAATGTTAGTAGATATTTCTGTTTACATACGGAGTAGATGCTTATTAGTGCAGTGGTCATTCTTGGAGTATTATATTATAGTGCTTGGATTCCGTGCCCTGAAATGGTGGTTCATCTTTCATTTCTTTGGATCATGAGCACTTTACCAGCACGCGTGTCTTACTTAATTGCACGGTGTTCGACAGGTTGTATTGATGATGACTTGAGTCTATTCAATATTAATCAGATTAGGGACTTGAAGTTGAATCCGAAGTCGCAAGCGCCGTGGAACAAGTCATTGAAGAACCGCGATAAAATTTCGTACAAGGTGCCTAACTCCATCAAGAAAGGCGCTACATATCGCATTCAGCAGCCTCGCGCAGCTTCAGTCATGTAGATCTTATTTGAAGAAGGTGCCCTTGTAGGTTTTAAAGTTGTACAGTTGCAAGATGCAGAATGGTAGGAGTGTTTTGTACATTGAGATCTACGAAAATTGGTGTTCGTAGTGGGTAGCAGTATGCATGATTGTACAAATTGTACCTCACCCGTTAGTCTTAACACATTGTGGTTGACAATGCGTTATAGATTGAACATAAACTTCACACAGCAAACAAACTGCAATTGAGTTGATCTTATGTGTTTTTTTTTATTAGTTTTGTTTTGTTTTGTTAAGAGCCTTATGGAGATGAGAATCTTCTCAGTCTTTAGATAACATCATATGTTGCATATGGTGTATGCTGCTATGTCACCTTCGCTTACATCACCTGTGGCTACAATTCGGTCTAGGCTGGAGCATCCATACACTTGTATTACAACTCTGTTGTAGCCACTGCATTTGGAACGAGATGTTTCCAACATTAACTTGTTGTCTACAACTGGCTATGACATAATTTATCTCACTGCATGTTTAAGCTGGGGTGTCTAATAGTTCTGCCTTTGATCAAAAGTAGCTGAACTAGCATTCCTACATTCCCTCCATCTTGTAACTTGAGTCGATTGGGATGTGCTAGTGTGGGAGTTCCTAGTGATCTTATCTGTGATATCTCTGAGAGGTGAATTAACATTTCCTCCACTTACGCTTCCTAATTTCAACCTTGATGGCAATCTTTGCTATACTTACTGCTGTACACATTATGAGCATACACATGGTGTGTTGCCAACACCCATGTCATACAACACTGCTGTGGTTGTCTTCACAATCATCCTTACAGTGGCCAATCGTTGTCTTCAAGACATCTGTGAAGTTGTAGTGTTAAATCATTGTCAGCACTTTCTGGGCATGTGGGTGGTTTTCATCCCTAGACCAAGAAATTGTTCACTTCCTGTAATCTCAGATTTTCATGATTATTTTTATAGATGATATTAAACCACAATATATTTGGCCACAATATATTTGATGTGTTAGCCATGAAATATCAATTTAGTATGCTTTATTCTGTTCATGTCATTGTCATACATTGGAGTGATTTAGTCCATAGGACTGGTAAAACATTCTGGTTCATGTTAAGAAGAATAATGATTTTGTATAGATGCAGAAGTTTTGCAATATTAACACAACTGGATGGAAATGTACACAATTCAGAGAAAATGGAGTTTGTTTACCTACAATGTGCAATAGACATGGATCATCCTTAATTTCAGTATTGATATTAGATGTTATGTATGATTCAAAAGACCTATCAATGGCTTTTGATAAAATAAAAATTAGATTCATAAGAAGCACTTTTTGATTTTTTTAAAAATATATTATATAAACATGTAATTTTTGGAATTATTTTAGGATAAGGGATTGAATTAATAAATACCTATGCTACTTCAATAAATAGATATACATAGACACAAATTAAATAAATAATATCTTACTTAAAAAATATTAAAGATCTTTAATATATAAATACATTTACAAGGACTTGTTAAAGCCACACCCCCAAATCATGTGATGATTAATTTAGTCCAATGTCACTCCACCCCAACACTCCATCATCATCCTCCATGAGTGTGAAGGGCAGCCCATCCTTTGTGCCCGAACATTTCCTCTGCCTGAAACACTGCCCAAGAGAGTTTAGGGCAGCTCCTTCGAAACTGCCCAAAACTCTCCTCTGCCCGAAACACTGCCCAAGAGTGCGGAGGGTAGCCCATTGCGGACTGCTGCATCCCACCTCACTCCTCTATGCATTGAATTCGAGTCGTAGACATTGACTTTTGCCCTCCAGCACCAAAGAAGCTCCGCTGAATAGGTCAAATGCAAGTTTTATGCATTATAGTTCCCCGTGTGCTCATGACAGGCCACTACATTGGCGGCCCTGATGAAGTTCGCCGCCTTCACAAGGACGGCAAATTGGGGGCGCTCTTACAAGATCTTCCTGTAGTCTAGTACCAAAAACCATGCGATGGCTGCGGTGGGGTAAGATTTGTTCCATGACCGGAGTAAGTTGGCAGCTGCAAGATCATTACTGACATGAACGACGTTGCGCAGTGTCCTGATTGCAACGAGAATGGATTGATCAGATGCCTAGTTTGCTTTCAGCATCATTTCACCATCAATCTGTGGGCTCTTGGCCACCGGTGGTAGTTTGGATTATATCATCGGTGCACGAGACAGGCAGCCCACCCCATTGAATGCGGGCGGAAGAGCGAGAGAGAGAGTGTACATACAACAAATACTTGGCTACCTTATTCTTACAGTTTTGTTTTGGAGGGATTTACAATTGGTTGAATCACTAGATTAAAAGATGGCTGTCGAAAGCGAGACCCTGTCAAGGACTTTGCATCATGTCGATGACGCTTTCCGTTGTGCACATTCCTGTATAGTATTCAAAACGGATGTGAAGCTCCTATAACGCCCATCAGCATTATTTCTCATTCTTTCGTAGGTATGCATGCACTTGCGTGTGGGGTGTGTATCCATTGTTCTCACATGCAGTGCGGTAGTCTCCACGACTTCTCCTTTCCATGACCACCCCAATGATTTAATGGATATCACGGGTCTGTGAATTCAATGTGCAGTGTATTTCTCGTCCATTGCTGTGTTTTTTCCTCTCTTCACTGGATGGTGTGAGTTGAATTGGTCGTGCTAGAAAGGCAAACTTTGTGTAATACTTGTGTACGATTGAGAAGGCATACGAACATCAAATTGTAATCTCTAAATTGAAGTAAAAGTTCAAACATAAATACCTCATAAACGGTTTAAAGACAACATAGCTGTGCAAAGACTTAGGATGGAGAATTCTACAGTAATCAAAATTCTCAACTTCATGGAACTTTGGGTAAGATGTGATAATAAAAGACCACGATTTTAAGGTGATGTATGGGAATGATATTTAGTGCTCCTGGACAAATATACAAGACTATGAAGAGGGCAATATCTACACCAACAACATTAATTGGGAAAAATAATAAGATAGCTTATTTTTTTATTTTAGCGCTCGTGGATTTGGCTCACTCCTCTGCGGTACAGGTTGATCTGGTAACACTCTCTACCAGAGAAACAAGTTGTGTCTCAAGTAAGCCGCTTCAAGAGTTTCTCATCCTGATGTTAATGGGAAGGTGGCGAGACCAACAAAGCTGCAGGTTTGTAATCCACGGCGTTTGACTCCTGGGGATCAGTCATAAGAGCTGTCTGCAATGGGCTAGACGTCAAAATTCAATCCAAGAGCCACATTCAAAGCCCCTGATTGCTAGCTACAGATGCACCTATGCTTATCCAGATTAGTTGAAAACAAGCCCAAATGAAAATGATCTGCTAATACTACAGAACTGCATCGACAATCTGAGCACGAGGATTGTCAATAATTGAGATGTCAAACATAGTGGCGGTGTGCATACACTGATTAGTTCTCTAGATTTTCTACAAGACAGGTTATTTTAACCTTTAAGAAGGAATCAAAACGTCAGTAGTGATTACTGTGGGATTCGGTAGTCTGAACCTTTCGCAAGCGACTACATACTGCAGCAATTTGTTCTTCTTGTCAAAATGTTGGGGCTGTTAAGTTTTATACACTCTTTTACCCCAGTTCTCTTCGGATCCTCATCTGGCAGATGATCCTTTCGGCTTTCCAATGGCGGATCTGGCATGCTAATGGGTTTGCGTCGTAAGTGATTAAATTTAGCGTTGGCAGAGCATAAATTCTGATGTTCTGGTGCTAGACATTGCAAATGATGCAATGAAGGAAATGATAAGTTCATATAATCGTTACATCACTACAGGACCCGGAGAAGAGCACACAGTTAGCAACTACTATCCGCACCAAGCAGTAGAACCCAAGTCCGTAAATCAGAGAATTCTTCTTTCGATAAAGGAAGGAATTATCAGCCATTACCTGATGCCATCGCTTCTGAAACTTGCGTCCCATTGCTTCAAAAATGCTTGCAAGGGCCTTCTCGGAGAAAACCCCTCAATCCACAGAGGAGAGTTTCGGGCAGTTTCGAGTTTCGGGCAGTTTCGAGTAAGTGTCAATAATAATAGTATTCAAGGCACAAGATTGGTGATGGTATCAAGGCCTTTTCTATTGATATTGGATACGTGGACCCTGACTGAGTGTTGAGTCAATGTTTTTCGTTTGTGTTCTTTGTGTGTGGAGGTGTTGTGGTGTAGCATCCTCATCTCGTGTCATTTGTGATCTGAATTCCTCCTTTTGCAATCGAATAGTGCTATGGTGGTCAATCTTTTCCTTCTTTTTGTTCATACTATTGCAAACTCTACACTAAGGTGGATTTTTTTTTTTTTTTTTTTTTTTTTTTTTTTCTTTCCTTCCTTCCATGCTTGATAAGCAATTGGAAGAGTTTTGAGTTTTTGGAAGTACGTAGGATTCTTCCTATTGTTTTACATGTATACTTCTTGATGAAGATTTGAGATTTGACTATGACAAGGTTTAGTGTAGATGGAGTTGTAGCATTGGTTGTAGTAGGTATGAAGCAACCTTATGAACTATCATTGCACAATCCAAAAGAAGTATCTTGATATAGTTTAGTCTTTCATCTAATGCCATTCCATTGCTGAATCCTATTGCCTTATCTTGTCTTGATTCTTCTATAATTTCTACAAGCTTAAGTTGTTAACAATTATCTTTTTGGTATTTGTAGTGATTAGGTTTTCATCTTCTCGATGATTCTACAAGCTTCTTATTATAATTATGGTCATGATATTGGTTCTCTCTGCATATATTATTTTTTTACAAATTAAAAAAGGCATAGCAGATCAACAAGGTCTTGAAAATACATAAAGGTATAAAATTATGGCTTGAGAGGGTATTTGAACAAATTAAAAGTTAATAATTGAGAGTAAAGATGGACCATACTTCAATGATAGTGGTGCAGCATTTTAGGCTTCCGGTTGATCAACAACAGTATTAAATTTTTTTCTTCTTTATTGAACCTATTATTATCAAGCTAACTCTTGAAGAAACAATTATATATTCTAGAAGACAAAGCACAATTACATATTCTTCAAGTCCTTCATAACTTTTCAATAATTAAAATTTTTAGATACAATAAGACTTTGGAAGTAATATCAAGAAATTTTTAGTGGCTTCATATGTGAAAGATAGTTAAAGACTTTGTACAATTATCTGACATTTTTTGAAGATTAAAAACTCCTCATTATTGATCTTATGGATTTTTTCAACCATTACTTATTTCAAAACAATGTCAAAGATATGAATCTTAAAAAAAAAAAATCCTTAATTTACTCTTGTATCACTTAAAAGAACTAGAAAGTTACTCAAAGATGATATTATATTAAACTAGAATGGCTATTATTAAAGACAATAAGACTAGAAAGTCTTGGAATAAGACTAAAGAGTAGAAAGACATTGACAAGAGTAAAGAAGACTTTATTATTACTTTCATATATACTCTTAACT